CCCAAGGGATCCTCCAAATGTGCAGAGGATGAATCGAACTCTGACCAGATATTCCAATAGCTCCCTAAAACTTGTATATCCAAAACCAAGATAAAAAACTTGTACCTCTTGAACATGTTTTATTGCCCTATTTCCAGTTTAACTATACAACCATCCTCCCAGCCATCCAGTGCAGAAAAACCTCAGAATCAAATTGACCTCTACTTTTTACCTTGCCGGCTATTTAAAACTAGTTACCAAGTCCTGTCTTACTGACAACTGAAACTACTGTGGTATCTGGTTCCTTCTGTTCCAACAGCATCTGCTCAGAATTGGGACTGCTGCAGCACTCTCCCCTCTTCGTCTCCATCCCTCCCCCATTTCATCTTAGACATGACTGTCACCAGAAGAGTCTGCCTGGAGTATGGTTCCTGCCACCACACCTCTCCCCTCACCTCACTCCTCCAGTACTCCAGGGTTCCCATTATCCACATAAACGGTCAAGCTCCTGTTCTTTCCATCCTCTGTATCCTCAAAACATTTTCCTTTTAATGTCAGTTTTTTTGTTCTATGTAATAATGTGTTTTTCCTTTCCTTCCAGACATAAGCTCCTCAAGGACAAAGGCTCTGTCTTCCCAGCTCAGCACTGTCCACAGAGCCTCAGCCTTTCACTCTACTGATATTTGTTGAGCATCTACTATGCGCTGGGTATCAAAGATACCTTGTTGGGCCAGATTTTGCCCTTGTCGTCCTGGAGCTTACAGTCTAGAACAGGGGTGGGCAAACTTTTTGACTCGAGGGCCACAATGGGTTCTTAAACTGGACCGGAGGGCCGGAAACAAAAGCATGGATGGAGTGTTTGTGTGAACTAATATAAATTCAAAGTAAACATCATTACATAAAAGGGTACGGTCTTTTTTTTTTTTTTTTAGTTTTATTCATTTCAAACGGGCCGGATCCGGCCCGCGGGCCGTAGTTTGCCCACGGCTGGCCTAGAAGATGCTCAAAATTGTTCACTCAATAAATAATAAAACTGACCAGTTAAAAAAAAAAAAAGAAAGTACTGTTTTGGGCAATGAGATTAAATTTGCTAAAAGTAAAAAAAATTTTAAAGATGCATGTTAAGCCCTGGTCGGGTGGCTCAACTAACTGGGGTGTCAGCCTGTATACCAAAAGGTTGTGGGTTCAATTCCTGGTCAGGGCACATACCTACGTTGCAGGTTCAACTCCCTAGTCAGGAGTGTACCAGAGGCAACCTATCAATGTTTCTCTCCCACATCTATGATGCCTGTCTCTGTTTCTCTCTTAAAAAAACCCCACAAAAACAATAAAAACATATCCTCTAGCACAGCCAGTGTGGCTCAGTGTTTGAGCATCAACCTATGAACCAGGAGGTCAGGGTTTGATTCCCAGTCAGGGCACATGCCCGGGTTATGGGCTCGATCCCCAGTGTGGGTTGTGCAGGAGGCAGCCAATCAATGATCTCTCTCATCATTGATGTTCTATGCCCCTCTCCCTCACCCTTCCTTTATGAAATCAATAAAAATATATTTTTAAAAAACAACAAAAGAAAACATATCCTCCAGTGAGGATAAAAAAAAAAAGTATGTTAAAATCAAGAGAGAAGGCAGGGGAGGGTGGGTGGGAAGAGATCAACCAATGAACTTGTATGCATATATGCATAACCCATAGACATAGACAAATGGATGGTGAGGGCCTGGGGGTGGGGGGAGGATGGGAGCGGGCTGGAAGAGGTTTATGGGGGGGGGAGGACCTATGTAATACTGTCAACAATAAAGATTTTTAAAAAAATCAAAATGTAAATTTGAACATCACTCTCTTTGTCTCATTTCCTCCATCAGGCTGCAAATTCCTTAAGAATTTTATCCCAATCACCAATCAATATTGGAATTCTGGAAGTCATGAATCAGTACGGATTAGATCAATGAAAAAATAAACCTAACTTACTTTTTTTCATAGATATCTGTAAATTTTAAAAGAGGCAGACAACAGGCAGGAGCGTCCTGAAGAATAGACATGGTTTCTCCACTGTAAGACAAAATCTTAATCATTAGAGAATAAATGCTGTTGGAAATCAACAGATGATTTCTAAGTTGTACTTTAAAATTGATTAACATAATGTATATACAAAATAAATTTACCAGTTTCTGGTATGTCAGAATTTATTTTCCAGAAAAATCTGAGGAAAGGACTTTAGGGACAAGGCAATTAAAAAATATTAAGTCACACTGGGATTTTCCTCTGACTCAAGCATAAAGCTTTCTACCTGTGTATCAGAAAGACCCTGACTCAGTAAGACAAGCACCTTGTTAATTCAGAGCAAAAGGCAGAATAGCTTGAAAGTCTCCTGCTACACTGTGGTTCATATGTTAGAGATATGGGAGTAGAATTCCTGTAGTTAAAGATACAATTGAATATGATATCATTTCAAATATGGTTTTAAAAAACAAAAGGCACCAAAAATACTCAAAGGGAAAACAAAAGCCAAACTGTTAAGAGTGAATGGCTTTGAGCCATAGGATTATGGATGATCCCCTTTCCCTCCGCCTCCGCCGCCCCCTTTGCCCTTTGCTTCTTCTGTTTCTGAACTTTCCAAATTTTAGTATTATTTTTATTCTTGGGAGAGAGAGGGGAAAGAGAAACAATTTACAATAATGAAGTGTACATCATAGAAAGATCATTTACAATAATGAAGTGTACATCATAGAAAAGATCTTTGAGACTCCAAACAGATATTCAGGAGTGAGTCCTGTTTTACTATACTCCAAACAGTGAGAGCCAAAGAAGAATCAAAGCTTATTCTCAATAAAAACATCACCAGATTCCTAAGATTAATATAGTAGTAATGAGAATTACAGGGCTGGGTGTCTATTTAACATTATGGATATATCTGCAGTTGAGAGCTTGTAGATCTACCCTCTACAGACTAATCCACCTTCTACTAAGATTTGAAAAATAATATTTCACTTTCCAGGCTCATAAACTTTTATTGTCAAGGTCTACTATTTTTAGAAGCTGTCTGGATATGTGGCGTATCATTTCACTTTTAAGTGCCTGCCAAATTTAGGTGTGCTTCACTTTTGGTTAATGACTTGAACAAGAGTCAAATTATTCTATCTAGCTTATTTCTAATTTATCTTTTCTAATTTCTAGTTTACTTCTAACTCTATCAATTTAGAATAAGCATTACTGCATATGTAATTACCACAACAGTTTGGGATTGCGCTAAAATCTATTTTTATTATTTATAAAATTATTTCAGGGCCAAAATGTTATTTCCTGAAATAAATGGCTTGTTTGGGTTTTTACCTCAGTAAAGAGAGTGATTTATTAGCAGCTCCTGTGGCAAGTGAGACCAGGATCTTCTTACTGCCAATTTTGTATCTGTGGAGGGTATTCACCGCACTGATTGCTTCTTGTAAGTTTTCCATTTGAACAACAGCCCTGAGCTGATAATCTGTGTGGGGGCTGAGCTCCACACTCTTCACCTACAGCAGTGAGAAAGAAAACAGATGCTATGTCTTCTAATTTAAACATTGAAGGTGAATCATTAAGGGACACATTTGTGGACTTCAGTGAAGTGAGGAAACTTGTCTATATTCTGCACTTCAGCCAACTAGAACCTAAGTGACCCAAGGTAGGTGACCTTCAGGGACGTGACACTGGCCTGGCCTGCCTGTGTGCTCTGGCACGCACAGCTCTGATGCAGGCTCAGAGGCCAACACAGGCAAGGGGTGTTTAGGAGTCTTCTCTCAACCCTGCAAAAAACCTGGGGCATAGCCATTTTAAGAACCAGGAAAAGGTGTGTAATTTTAGCACACTCCACCTAAAAACTGAATCAGATACAGTAAAATATTACCAAAAACAGCCAACATTATTTTAGAATCCTATTTCTAGATTTTAGCAGCCAGAGCCAACTAAAACCCATCAATGTTTTATTTCCTAAAGTGCCATTTTAAATCCCTGCCCATGACCACAAATGCTTCTCTGCTAGGCTTCTTGCTCTCTGGGGCTGGGTCCTAAAAACTGGATGGATGGCACCACTAAGAGCAGACCGAAGGAAGGAGCTCCAGCTCGTTCGGTAACACATATCCTGGCTATGGTTATGAGTGTTGAATTAAGTTATCTCAATTTGAAATGTCAGCAAAGGGTAAGACAAAGGCAAGAACAAGAGTGAGAGATTACCTTGCCATGCCTAGAAAATGCTTCCTGTATGAGCTGCTGCAGCTCCTTCCGGGATACTCTGTAGTCTATGTTACTGATCTGGATATCAGCACCATTTGCAAATGGGTCTGGGCAGTCGGCACCAATGCTTGAATTTGCAACACTGAAAGCAAGAGGGGACACTCTGTTTAAAAGTGTTGGAGACATACTCCTGCTTACGACATAGATAGTGAGATTATTTTTTTAAGATGGCATTCTATTTAGTTTATATAATTTAGGCTTTCTTTGAAACTATATATAGACAGAGCTTGCCACAATGCAATTTGGTTTTCAAATGTGTTTTTGTCTTCCACATATATTGTCAAAAGTACTACCTGTTGACCCCATATTAATAACCAGTGAATTATTTAATATAAAATATTCTTTCATTGGATAATTCAAAGCTAAAGGCAGAAATTACAGGCAGACCTAATGAATTAATTTTCCACTTTGACCATTATTCTTAGGAAATTAGCTTTAGCTTGTGATAACCAATGTAAGTCCTTTAACCACCCCTAGCTTTGAAAAAGCTAGATATTCTTACTCATATGTTGCATTTCTTCCCCATGTAAGAAAAAGAAGTTTTGTGTACATTTTAAAATGTAATTATAGCCCTAACTGGTTTGGCTCAGTGGATAGAGCGTCAGCCTGCGGACTCAAGGGTTCCAGGTTCGATTCCGGTCAAGGGCATGTACCTTGGTTGCGGGCACATCCCCAGTGGGGAGTGTGCAGGAGGCAGCTGATCGATGTTTCTCTCTCATAGATGTTTCTAACTCTCTATCCCTCTCCCTTCCTCTCTGTAAAAAAATCAATAAAATATCTTAAAATGTAATTTTACAGGTCCAACATTGCCTTCATAGTGAGTCTTCACCAACTCAGCAGAACACCTACAATGCTAGAAGGAGTTCATGGGATGCCACATGGCCTTATGGCTCCTTCCGTCTTCCAAGCTTCCAGAATTACTCAGTGCGAGTGTTTAGAAAGCTTAGATAAGGTAAGTGTTATACAGATCCTTACAGTGGCTTACAGAGGCCCTTACTTGCTGTAATTATCCTATGAATAAGAATAACCAATGTATGTCTAGTTTGGGCCTTTTCCTCAACATGATGAGGTGATAAGGAAATGGCAAGGACATCCTCACGTGTCTCCCTCCCATCGCTGGCCAGGAACTCCAGGACAAACTTCTTTCTCTGACTTCTGCTTACTGATGCCCACGTGGAGAAGGGAAAGATGGTGAGAAGCACTGCCCCAAATGTTAGCTAAAATTACCTGGGGCAAGGGGGCTGACAGAAGAGGGATGAGACTTCTCTTTTACTTTATGTGCTTCTGTGTTGCTTGAATTCTTTTAAACAAACATATCTTCTATTGCACATAACCACTCCATGGATCAAGAAGCTGGACTTACCGAGAAGACCAAGATGGAGATGTGAGCAGAGAACTGATTTGCCTGGATGCAATCAACTTGCTAAAAGCAGACGGGTAACTCACTTGGAACAAAGTCTCCTCTTTGTTTTTTTTCTCTACAGGAGAACTGGTAACACTTCGGGCACTGAGGTTCTCTTTTCTAATGAAGGGAAAAATCAGAGGTTATTTGTTTTCCCTCACTTTGGAGAAGCAACTATGAGAAAAGAGTAATTCAACCTACTTTGGATTGGTTTTGTAAACGGATTCTGCCAACCCGGAGTTTTTTAGTGTGGGTGCTACGACACTCGAGTTTCTGTGAGGAGGTGCCACCAGCCTCAGGTTACCCTGCTGGGATTCACTGTTTCTAGTACCAGTTTTTGACTCCAGACGGCACAGCTCCTTAAAAGAGACAAGTACAGAGGAATTAAAAATTTAAGTACCCAAGGTGTGTCAGACCCTGTACAGAAATCATGTCACTTTGAGTTATCATCAAAATGGAAATAAAAAAAGGACAGAACAAAAGCAAGCGGGCCTATAAAACACAGAGACAAAGAAACCAAACCTACCATAAACTTCAGAAAGCAAGAGTTACCATAATTACCTGTAAACTTTTCACATTTGTGTTTTTTGCAGCAGATCCAGAATTTGCCTGCGACCCTTTTCCAGGCATGGCTTTGGCACTGGAAGATTGCTCATTTGCATCTTTGATGAGGCACAATTTTGGAATCTTAAGTTTTTTTGGAGACTTCACTTTATCAGGAATTGCATTTGAACTATTTGTCTCATAGAGTTCTTTATTTTTGGGAGTAAATGACACGATGATCCTATTCCCAAAGACATCTTCATTTTCCATTCGCTTCTGAGCCCGTTCTGCACTATCTTGGTTTATGAAGCGGAGGATTGCACTGCAGCCCGTGATGCTCAGCACTTTCCCACCACAGTTGTCGGACAGGCGTCTGAGCCTGTTGCTGACGCTCTTGCCATCTTTATTTGCTGGTAGGTTATAAACATAGAGCAGAGTGTGGCACTGCTGACACAGAGGAGAAGTGTTACAACAGGTTAACTCAAGGGCACACATTTAATTACAAAATAAGAACAACAAATGATCTCCAACAAGCTTGAGACCTTGGAGGGGAGGTAAATAATGATTTAGATGGGAGAAGGTGAACTTATTTAGATTAAAAAACATAGAAAAAGAGAACTGTATCTGAAGCTATCACTCTAGTGAATGAGACTGACGATTCAATTTCTGAATAATGTTTTGTTTTGTTTTTTAACCATTAGGAATAAGGATCTCTATAGTGAGCAATCTTTCACCTAAAATACATCTGACTTCAAGGTCTTCAAGATTAGAAAAGTGAGTGCAAACAGAAGCAGAAGGGTGAAAAATGGAGCTATAGCCAAACGGCTAAAAGCATAATGAATAACAACAAAAATTAATTAGGAGGGTGGCTCAAAGACTGAAGTAGGGTCAGACTCTGGTATCCCCAACTGGGTTGTCCTTAGCATGTGTTTAACCTTGGCTTGTTCTGGGTGTCAGGGAATACAGGGAGACTAGCAGCTCAAGTGCTTGGATCAGGGGCCCTGGGGTCGTCTCTGCTCTTCTGTGATCAAGCTGTGTGACCTCCAATGAATTGCCTACTTTTTCTAAGTGCTGACTTTCTCCTCCCTGATATAAGGACATTGGATGAGATCATCTCTAAGGTACTTCTGTAACTCTCAAGTCATCTAATTACATTAAAACTGCACTTAATGTATGGGATTGCCTGCTCTTCTGCTTCATCTACACCAGTGATGGCGAACCTTTTGAGCTCGGCCTGTCAGCATTTTGAAAAACCCTAACTTAACTCTGGTGCCGTGTTACATATAGAAATTTTTTGATATCTGCAACCATAGTAAAACAAAGATGTGTATTTTTGATATTTATTTTATATATTTAAATGCCATTTAACAAAGAAAAATCAACCAAAAAAATGAGTTCGCGTGTCACCTCTGACACGCGTGTCATAGGTTCGCCATCACTGATCTACACTATAGCTCCTCTCCATCGTTACTATTTCTTTAAGAGTTACATAAATAATCTCCAAGCAACTTATTAATGTTGTTCAGCATTGCAGTAAACATTCCTGTCCCGAATCAAGATTATCAGAAATGCTCATCTTGCTGGAAAAAACTCACCTTCTCCTATCATGTGGCTTAACAGGCTATAGGTGTAGCAATAACCATTCCTACCTTCCTGTGCACATGCATGACATGGAGTGCAACTACAGAAAACAGGCTCAGAGGCCTGCTGAGGACTTACATTTTAAATGCCTGAAAACTTTACAATTCCTCTGTTTGACTCCAAACACACCAGTTGGTACAAACCATCACCATATTCTTTACCCAAAACACTTGAAAGCAAAAGGATTAATAACTCTTATTCCATTATTTCTATCCCTCTGACACAAAGCATTGTTAGCTATGGAGACACTGGCCAGTGGCTACTGGTAAGGTAAATCTAAGTCAATTTTAAAAATAAAAACAACATTCATACATATCAAGTCTCTGTATATTTGTAAGAGAAGAATTGAAGATTTCTAACCCTTATTTCAAAATCTGGCTAGACCTCCTATAATGAAGAGTTTCCTCTAGGCTTGTAGACCCCCTTGCTTAGGGCTTCTTCAACCTCCCTAACCTAGTGTTGGAATATAGCAAAGAGAAGGCAAACTCACTTACTGGCATTTTTAGTGGTGACCTGGGGGGCAAGTCGGAAATGAATTCTTCAAATCTAATCAATTCATTAGCATGATGCAGCAGTGCTTCTGAGGCCTGGTTTTTATGGATCAAAATTATGTGGAAACCATGTCTGTGTCTCAGGTCACTAAGTTCCAAGGCAAAATTGACATCAGCTGAAAGGTAAGATACAGCCCAATCCCATCCCCAAACATTAGAAACACTTGAGAAAGACAGACTCCCCCCTCCCTTTTTAATGTCTGCCATGAAGTAACTGCTCGAGCTAAAGCCGACCCCTCCCCCTCCCTTTTTAGAATAGGAACACATTTGATATCAGAGGAATTAGCATGGTAAGACAATTTTACCACATACTTATACTAAAAAGACACGTGTTACTTCTAGTCATAACAGGGAGCAAATATTAATATTTTGGGGAGTGTCAACTTTGGACATTACTCATCTTAGATTTTTAAGATTAGCAGCATTGGCCCAGGGTTAAAAACAATATGAGTTTTCTTTTTAAGAAAAAAAAAAGAAACAATTACATTTTCTTTAATAAACTTGGCCCCACAAGAATCCTTACTCAAGTTCCAAGGAGAAAATACAGAATTCCATGTAGACCCATTTTTATTTCCCAGACAGTTCCCAGACATAAGCATAAATATGTCCTATGTACTTCACCCTCTTTCAGACACATTTTACTTTAACATGTTCTGGCTCCTATGATAATTCCCACATAGTGCATTTAGCTAAAATGAGCAGATGTTTCCACACTTACTCGACACAAGAACCACAGTAGCTGGAGCAGTGTGCGTATTTGCAAACCTTCGGAGACTCTGGCGGAGTTTATCATCAGCAGCATTCTTCGCAGTAGCATTGATGTGGGCAACAGTTACCTGCATTAATTTATAATAAGGACAAATGAGCAAAGGCTGAGGTGAGAAAATCACTACACATCTTAACAGACTGTCTTTGAGGAAATAAAATCTTTCATTATTATTATTATTGCAACTTGAAATGGGGAAAAATTGCAACCAGATGTCAATAATTTCAAATTTGGTTTTCCATAAGAATTGCCTGCTTCCATTATTACCCCCCCCTCTCTAATCTGCTTTTGCACTTCATCCATGCCCCTATCAGAAATTAGGCAGAGAAAAGGAAGTGAAATTTGAAGTAGTTGCATGAACTCTCACGAAGAGCTTTTACCAACAATTTGGGAATAGCAGAGACTTGATATATGATTAAAATAGTATTTGGGGCTGGTGTCATTTGTCTATGCTATATACACTACGCCTTTCAGGATCTGGGGTCAGGTAGTGAACAGGAGAGGCATCTAGCCTTTAGGGAGCTAAACTGTGTTTATTCCTATTAAAATTATCAGGCTTGCTCTGGCTGGTGTGGCTCAGTGGCCTGCACACTGAAGGGTCAAAGGTTCAATTTCCAGTCATGGGCACGCATCTGGGTTGCAGGTTTGATTCCTCAGTCCTGGCTGGGATGCATGCGAGAGGCAACCGATCGATGTGTCTGTCACATAGATCTTTCTCTTTCTCATGCCCCTCTCTCCACTCTCTCCAGAAATCAATTGAAAAATATCCTTGGGTGAGGATTAACAAAAAAAAAATTATCAGGTCATAAATAACAGTCTTCAAAGCAAGGAAAGTTTTGAGAGGTGCCACAACTACATGCAAAACACAATAGATTAGTTTTTATGAAGAACATAAGTATATAATTTTAGACACCAATATGGCATATCAATGGAATTATTTGTCTAAGAGTCAAAAGAACTGGGTTCTAGTTCCAATTTAAGAGAACAGACTTTGGGCTCAATCTGGATTTAAATCTTAGTTATCTACTTACTGGCCATGTGATCTTAAAAAAGTTGCTTAAGTCCAGCCGGTATGGCTCAGTGATTGAGCATCGACCCACAAACCAAGTGGTCACTGGTTTGACTCCCAGTCAAGGGCACATATCCGGGATGTGGGCTCAATCCCCATTAGGGGGCACACAGGAGGCAGTTGAATGATGTTTCTCTCTTATCGATGTTTCTATCTCTTTATCCTCCCTTCCTCTCTCTTGATTTTAAAATCAATTTTTAAAAAAAGTTGCTTAGCCCTAACCGGTTTGGCTCAGTGGACAGAGCGTCGGCCTGGGGACTGAAAGGTCCCAGGTTCGATTCCGGTCAAGGGCATGTACCTTGGGTGCGGGCACGAGGCGGCTGATCAATGTTTCTCTCTCATCAATGTTTCTAACTCTCTATCCCTCTCCCTTCCTCTCTGTAAAAAAATCAATAAAATATATTAAAAAAAAAAAAAAGTTGCTTAAGCCCTGGCCAGATGGCTCAGTTGGCTGGAGCATCGTCCCCATACACCAAGGTCATGAGTTCGATCCCAGGTCGGACACATAAAAGAATCAACCAATTATTGCATAAATAAGTGGAACAACAAAGTGATGCCCTAACCAGTTTGGCTCAGTGGATAGAGCGTCGGCCTGCAGACTGAGGGGTCCCGGGTTCGATTCCAGTCAAGGGCAAGTACCTTGGTTGCAGGCACATCCCCGGTAGGGGCTTGCAGGAGGCAGCTGATTGATGTTTCTCTCTCATCGATGTTGCTAACTCTCTATCCCTTTCCCTTCCTCTCTGTGAAAAATCAATAAAATACATTTAAAAAAAAAAAGATGTTTCTCTTTCTCTTTCTGCCCTCCCCCACCCTCTCCCGACTCTCTCTCAAATGAATTAAAAAAAAAATTTTAAGTTGCTTAACCACTTTGGGGGGTCTCAATTTCATTTGTAAATTTCAAATAATAAATCCTATGAGCCTGTTCACAGAGCAATTATGAAAATCAAAGGAAACCATTATACAGGTATATCACTAGTCACATACGAGTAGCATTACTGAAAGATTAGACACAATTAGATGATTCCTAGAACAGCAGGCCCTCAAATTACATCATTTCGTTCAATGTCATTTTGTTATAACACTGGTGAAATGCTATAGGACAGTGGTTCTCAATCTTCCTAATGCCACGACCCTTTAATACAGTTCCTCATGTTGTGGTGACCCCCAATTTCATTGTTACAAATTGAACATAAGTAAAACACAGTGATTAATCACAAAAACAATATGTAATTATATATGTGTTTTCCAATGGTCTTAGGCGACCCCTGTGAAAGGGTCATTCGATCCCCAAAAGGGTCGCGACCCACAGGTTGAGAACCGCTGCTATAGGAACTTAACTCTCGTTTATATCAATTAGCCTATGTGGCAAAACTGGTTTCATTATATGTCATTTCATTTGAAGTTGTAGAACCTACTGACAATGTTAAGTGAGGATTTACTGTACTTTAGAAATAATCTTTTGCTAATTTCCTTTATTTCCAAATGCACATTAAACAAATTTTGAACTGTAATTCTTTGAAAGAAAATCACATGTACCTATTCTTCTACCATAATAGATTAAAACTGTTTTATTTTTTTACCTGGCAATTATTCAGCTCTTGAATAACTTCTTTGTTTTCTTTACTGATGTCACAAACACAGATGAATTCTGCTTCTCTATGGCCTTTAAAAAACTTCTCACGGATTCTATGTACAACAGCAGAGGCTGAGCGGCCAGAGGGAACTGAGCAGTTTTCAATATCCCAAAAAACTCCAATGGGGGGTAAGTTTTCCAGCAGCTGTCCAGCTAGTGCAACTTCTGGTGAGCCTTAAGAAATGTTAACACTTTCAATTATACATAATGAAAAAGAAATGGCAAATTAAAATAAAATAGCTACCTATCATTCTTAGTGGCAGAAAATCGAAATAATTGATGGATATTAATTTTAAGGATACCAACCTCACTGGTTGATCTAATAAAACAAAAAAACCCCAAGCTGTCATAGTACCTCTAGCAATTATTCCTATTTTTCAGAAGAAAACAAACTAAAAAAGGTTAATTTACTTTAAGCCCACAATAATCCATCGCAAAGCCTGAGCCATCCTCATGCGTCACTTATGCATCTCTCAATACTAACACATAGGTGAATGGATGCTGCAGCCCTGGGACCTGATTTCCATGCTCTGCCCCATTGGAAAGAACAATGAAGAGGTAACAAAAGTTTTTACTGTCGATTTTAAATGATTTTTAGTGCAGCATTAACATCTGATTTAATATTTTTTAAATGTTTTTAAAAAATAAAATATTAGTTACTTTTGGGGAAAATGCTCTTAGGTTTTCAAATGTCATTTTTCACCAGTCACTACCAAACCTTTCTAAAGACTTACAGCTTCTAGAGAGTATACAATTAATAAGTGTGATTATTAACCTAAGTTGACACCATGTCCCATCCAGTACTTGTTACTCCTAATGTACTCCCCATTTTTCTACACACAGCTTCTGATTTCAATTAGCCCCAGCCCAATATAAAGGGCAAATGAGCCCAGCTGGCGTGGCTCAGTGGTTGAGCATCCTTGACCTGTAAACCAAGAGGTCACAGTTCGATTCCTGGTTAGGGCACATGCCTGGGTTGCAGGCTCAATCCCACTGTGGGGCGTGCAGGAGGCAGCTGATCAATGATTCTCTCTCAACGTTGTTGTTTCTCTCTCTCTCCCCCTATCCCTTTCTCTTTGAAATCAATAACAATATATTTTTAAAAATATAAATAAAGGGCAAATAACATACTGATCTATAAAAATATTTTTACCAAGAGATGGAAATGGAGACTCACATACACAGTAGCTTTAGAACCACAAGGACTCTTTTACAGGCAATGCACAGTTAGGATATGATATTGAAAACTATTTAAATATGCACATTTTATACCATACTGTCATTTACCAAATTTCGAAGCAGCTTTGTCTAGACTGGTCGCCAATAACAATGTGGTCTCCTTCCCTTTGGTTCCACAGCCATTACACAGAGGAACAGTAACAGGTGCAGTTTGAGTATTTGGAGGTGGTATATTTGGCCAGACTTTAGCAGCAGCAATTATACTATTTCTTGCCGGCTGTTTTAAAAATTTTTTTTAAAAAGGTTTCAGATATATCATTTCAGAATTATATACAACAACTGAAAACACATTCCAAGTGTTTCTCCTTTCCAGATGCTAACCTCTAATAAAATACCTTTTCAAATCATCTTTCCTAGACTATTAGTTATCAATTCATAAACTCACTCAAAGAAGTGACTTGAAATGATCAGGAGAGATAGTCACATGATCAGACCTTTACACTCTGGGGCATGTGTCTGCTGCAATGGAGACCTCAGACAAACTTTACATAAAGGGAATTAAAGTGTTCACTTAAACACAAGTGTGACTGAGGCCAAGTTTCAAGTTCCTCAAATTACTTCAAAAGGACAACATGCAATTACCTACATTACATGAATGGGTTCGTGTACAGGGTGTTATAAGAAATCACAATCGTGCTGTAGTCTTTAAAGACAAAATAGTACACGAGGCTTTGCTGAACTAGGTTTACATGTACGAAACAGATTTATCTCAAGAGGCCCTAACAGGGTAAACTATATAAATAATTACTCTCTACCTATCTGAATGGTCCCTCCCATTTTACCCATAGCTTTGGGACCAGCAGAAGTTATGCTCATGGGAAGAAAGCGACATCATGGAAGAATCTTCAACCCCAAGCAAAATAAAGGCTTTTCAAGATATATCCACTTTAAAATGTCATTCCTCAAACCTCAGCTGCCCCCAACATATCAAATAAAAAGATACAAACCTTGTTTAGACAGTCTTCGCAGTAAAGGGAGCCCTTTAAACACACCGGAGGGACCACATTTAGGTGCAAAGAGCTGGTGCACAAGTGAGGTGTTAGCTCCGACTGTGAAATGTGCTCTTCCAAATGCCCTGGAGCCCCACTTGTGAAATCAGAACAGGGGAAATAGCCAGCAGAGGTGCAGCCCTGGAGAGCCGGGAACTGATGTAGCTTGTGCACGTTACCATGGCATGACTGGAAATGGAGCTTTCCACAACAGGGCAGGTGTTGGCAGGAAGAGAGGTTACTTTCTGGACACGTGCTGGGAAAGTCACTTGCAATGCCGGCCATACTGTTCCTAGCTAAGGCATTCTGGAGTGAAGGTGAAGACTGAAAAGCAAGTCCTGACCCTACCTGGCATGTGATTGTCCTGGTGCTCTGTGAGTCTAACACTGTGCCCGAGTGAATCAAGCTACCAGTACCTCCGCTACCGCCACCGCCACCGCCACCACCAAAATGCATTGGTGAAGTGGAGGGTTCATTAGTGCAATGAGCACAGCAGCTTACTTTGGGGACAGTTGGAAGCTGTATTTTAGTTTGCTGAAGAGAATGAGTATCTGGAAGTGGAACTGCTGGAAAAAGTTTAGAGCCAGTATGAAGGGGAGATGGTACATCCTTTAATTCCACAGCAACTTTCTTGTTCTCCATGTAATCTTTCTGAGAAAAAAAAAATCAGAACACGAGTTAATTTTATGAGGTCAGAGATTTTTGGTTACATCCTATTGCATTCAACAATGGAAACGATTCAATCCTGTTTATACCACTCAATCATGAACAAACAAAATGGAATACCAGCTAAAACCAGTGGCATTCTTCAGAGAGGCCTGCAGGAGGTGAACATGGAAAGACAACGAAAGATAAGACTGTGTTCTTCTAGAATTTTAAGAGACTAGGGGAGGGGTCTTTGGTAAACCGGGTTAACCATCTATGTCCCAGTTACCTCCTTTTGATAACTTCCCCTTGTCTCACGGCATCTTCTGAAGACAAAATAGGTGGTATGAAAACAACACAGTCACAGCAGCATTCAATAAAGATGGCTTAAAAGCAAAGTGCTTTGCAGTAAAATCATAAGGGGTTTTAGTAAGGTTCTTCAGAGAAGATTCCAAACACTATGGATGCGCTCAGCCATCTCCCCAAGTGACCCATCTGTGGAAAAGTCTATAAACGTGCTGCTGATGACATTTAGCAAACCCTAGAATATCATGGCCTAAATCCCTAATGCCAACATTATTCTGCAGCCAGTGAAAAAAATTAGGATAATTAGAAAACTGGGAAGAGATACAAGAGAAATAGTTTGTCACATTCCTCCAACATAGACACAGGAGGCCAGTAAATTTATAAAGGTTGTGGTATGGCATTAGTGTCAGAGGCCTTGGCTTGCATGTGATACTCAGCAGTTTTATGACCCTTAGTAAGTTACTTAAGCCCTCTACACTTCCATTTCCTCATCTTTCAATTGGGAACAACGGGATGTACTTCTGACAACTGTTAGAAGGATAAAATAAGATCATGCACATAAACCTCTCAGCAGAGTTCCTGGACCCTGAAAGGAGATCTAACTAATCAAGAGCCTTTATGGACTGACTGCAGGCTCTACCAAGATGAAAAAGATGCCCTCGTATAGTGATTGAGACATGCTCATCCCTGGGAGCATAGAAGGGTCCATCTGACTTCCATGATTTCACTCCTTTTGCTGTGATTCTATATTCATTCAGGAGAAATCTGGATTTTCAGCTAGATTTTTCCTAAAAGGGAGGTAATAGCAATGGGCTGACCATCCAACAAGCACTATATTCTGCCCTTTTGGTAATTAGTTCAGGCTGGAAATGAATACGCTGCCATTCTGATTTATACAAATTTGGCTCTTATGGCAAGGTTACTGTGAGTTGGTCCCCTTGAACACACTCAATTCTGAATGCCACTGACAAAAATCAAGTGTCTGGATCTGGCCCTAGCTAGTTTGGCTCAGTGGATAGAGCATCAGCCTGCAGACTGAAGAGTCCCGGGTTTGATTCCGGTCAAGGGGACATGCCCAGGTTGCGGGCTCAATCCCCAGTAGGGGGCATGCAGGAGGCAGCCAATCAATGATTCTCTTTCACCATTGATGTTTCTCTCTCTCTCTCTCCCTCTCTTGTCCTCTCTAAAATCAATTAAAAAATATATATTTTTTTAAAAATTTCAGAAGGCTACAGTAAAATAAAATCTATTTTATATTTTCTCCAATTGTATTCTACAATGTGGATTTATCTTTGAAATCCATGACTTTAATGAGAAATAAATCTTCCCAAAATGTTAACATTAAATATTTAAAGCATCTACTGTTATTTAAGAGTGGACATACAAGAGTTAAAAAATTATGCTCATGGAGTCAGGAATTATAATAATGTTCTACAAGAAGTAATATAAGCAAGATACCAGGAAAACTCAGCACAGACTCCAGGGAGAGCAACTGCCCCAGAACAAATGGAGCTCCCATCTATTTGCATTAGGAATTTGCTATGTCCTTAGTCTTGCACATAGTTACCGTTTGGGGACTAAGTGGCAACATCTGCTCAGGACGAGAAAAGCAATTAGAGAATTTCCAAAGCCATGGCTTAGCACCATTATCTTGTTGAAGCCATCCGAGTGTTCTACTACAGGAGTTCTCAGTTCCGTTTCCTTCCATCATATAGCCACACAAAGTTGTTCAACATTCTTTCACCTTTCTTTTCTTTCATTCTTCCACCCTGTTGAGAATGAGATTTCAATGTTATTTATATGCATAAGTACAAATTTTACTATTAAAATGTGAGACTGCAACTATATTAATGGTGCAATGGCTCCCAACAAGTAAGACCTTAGGAGCAAAAGTAGAATGGCTTTCAAAGCATATTACAGGTTACTAAAATTTGGTCAACTTGGTTGACTATTTATGCTTAAATTCTGACTGCATCCACCCGTTTTTAAAAAAAAAATCAGCCTCTTCCATTTCTCATGTTCTATAATTCTTCCAATAAAAATGAACTCCAGATGAGCCCTATTTCTTTTCTATAAACAGCAATGCTTGAGAGAAGTAACCAAATCTTGGACACCTGCATATCCCCAGTGAAACCTCTCCTCTTAGCTGGAGACAACCTCCTCTAGCCCTGAGTAGACGTTTTCTATAGTTTTTCTTAATTCTTCTCAACTGTCTTTCCCTAAAGGCTCTTCTTATGAGAGTCAAAAAGTTAACAGCAGAGAGCATGTAATTTTTAGTAAAAGAATAACTATATGTCCTCATTACCAGTTATGTAAGATTCTGAAATTGATTTAATAACAACTTATCCCACTGGTCTTTGATATTAGTATGGAAGGTCCATATTATGTGGCCTCTGTGGACTTTTGATTTTTTTTTCAATCCTCCCCAGAAGATATGGTGGGGTTTTTTTAAAAACTGATTTTGAGCGAAAGAGAGAGAGAGAGAATTGATATGAGAAACATCAATCAGTTGCCTCCTCTAAGTGCCCAGACCAGGGATCAAACCCGAAACCTAGGTATGTACTATGACTAGGAACTGAACCAACAACCTTTTGGTATACAGGACGATTCTTCAACCAATTGAGCCATCCGACCAAGACTTTGAATTTGATTCTGCTACAAAACAAATCAAATCAATTTCTTAGTTTGTGCAACCTGGTATACCAACAAAAATCTAACAGAGAAATCTCAAGTCACAGACATGCTGTATCTACTCCAGTGCAACAACACTTAAACAGTACAATAAAAGCAGATCAAATCAATAATAGCCATTGGGCATGGAGGCAGCCAGCCAATGGTAAGGACAACTGAATCTCATTTCCAAGTCCCCACCATCATACCCCAACAATCACCTACTCTTACCTACAGTGGCCCCTTTAAGGTTATTAATTTATCTTTCAGAAATTTAACCTGGGAATATAGAAAAGAATTCCTTTTAGCTATCTCTCTGATAAGATCCTCGTTTCAAGCAGTTTTAACATCAACATAGTAGGGTGAGGGGAGAGATGATGATACAAGTGCCATATTTAAGGTACAGGAGGGCTGATCACATAAAGCAGGGGTAGGCAAACTATGACCTGCCAGCCAAAACCAGCCCACTGCTTTTATTTAAATGGCCTTTGAACTAAGGATGTATTTTACATTTTTAAATTCTTAGAAAAAAAATCAAAATAATGTTTTATGACACAAAATTTTATGAAATTCAAATTTCAGTGTCTATAAACAGTTTTATCGAGACATGGCCACACTCATTTAAGAACTGTCTATGGCTGATTTTTGCACTATAATTGCAGAATTAAGTATTTGCAACAGAGACTATATTGCCTACAAAGCCTAAAATATTTACTATTTAGCCCTTATGTTGAAGCTACAAAACTTCATTAAATTTTGGGTTCTTCCTCGGTTCAGTGTGTCTAATTTCTTCCCTGTACACCTCACAGCACTATTGAGGGTGAAAAATATTAGATAAAGGAGCCTACCATTTGTTTTCAATCCTTCATCACCTGTGCCAAGCACAGGGCTGGCTACTTAGTATATACTAAATAAATATTTTTACTTTACCTAGCTGTTTATAATTAGGAGTTAATTTGGAGACAGAGATGAAGTTAACTACCACAATATTAGTACATTATGCTACTTGTTTTTCCTCTTAAATACAGGTTTAATACCTCCCACAATCGCCTCTAAATCATAAAGAATTTGTGATATTCAGGATATACACAACTTCAATGTGTTCTCACAAACCTCTTCAAGGCCAATCCTGAAAGTGAGCTGACAGGTAGAGTACAATATAGTTTACTAAGCATTTTTATTTAACATTATTTCTCCATTCAGCAAATATGTACTTATTACCTACTCTGTAGCAGGCTTATGATTGCCACAGGGATACAATGATTAAGCCACATCTTACAGAGGAGAAAACAGAACTTCAATGAAGTTTTGTAACTTGCGCAAGATCACACTATTAGAAAGGGAGTAAACCAGGCTTGTCCACCTCTTTCTACCACACCAAGGTGCCCTCTGTATTGCTCAACACAGCAACAGAAAGTACACACATATTAGCTTGTTAGTGGCCTGCACCTGGAAATTTTCCCAAATATTCCTGGGAATGCCACTAAGTAACTTAGGTAGCCAAAGCAAAGTTTTCTTTGATTTGCGTTTAAGTCTCACTTCTGCCATTACCTCCCAGAATATCTGAGCAATTCAGATAGTGTTTGAGAGCACAGGTTCTGAAGTCAGACTGTCCGCATATTAATCCCCAATTCTTTGGCTTCCTCTCTGTGTAGCTCACAATCTCTCCAAACCTCAGATCCCATCTGGAAAATGGGCCTGATAATAATAGTGGCACTCTCATAGGGCTATTGTTTGGATTAAATGAAACAATCAAGTAGAAAATTTAGCAATGTCCTTAACACCCAATCTAATCCTTAACCCCCCCCATACACCCTCCCCAATCCCATTACTTTTTTCAATAGCTCTTCTATCTAAAATTGTCTTATTTGCTTGCTTTATTTTCTGTCTCTCCCACTTGAATATAAACTCCGTGACAGTAGGGATCATATTTCCTTACTTATTTTTGTATCTCCTGAATCTAGCACATATCCATAATAGCTGAGTGAAAGAAGAATTCGATAAACGCCTAGGAAGACCGTTAGGTTTCAATCCTTCTGTATACAAAAACAGAATATTACCGCTCAGAGATGTTAGGAAGTTCAAAAGACATAAAGGTAACTGGAGAGCTCTTAGTAATACCAGAAAGGTGCTTGGGGAACTCTAAAAGGTGTATCAAGGTGTCGCGTTACAACCAGTAGTGGGAGTGGCTCAAGCCCTAAGAAAACTCAACTACTACCCTTCAAACCAGAGGCTGCATCCTAGAGAGTGTTGAAAACTGAGGAGGATGCAAAACGCTCAGGAGGGTTGCAAAAGCACCCGCCCCATCTTCCTCTCTTAACCTTCCCACGGAGCAAACTCCTCTGGAAAGGTTGCTCTCCACACCTGGAGGGCACCATTGGGAGCAGGGAGACAGGTGCGGCGGGGAGCCAACTCCCCCCCCCCCCCCGCCCCGCCCCAAAGGGCAGCAGCGGCGCAGCAATGGCTGTCGTGAACGGACACGAAAGGGAGGCAACCCGAACCTTTAGTGGGGGCCTGAGTGGTGGGTCCCAGTCCTTCCCCTCGACTAACCAACCTCCCGCACCTCCGCCAGTAATAGGCAGGGGAAAGGGGGTACACCGTTTTTCCTCCAGCCTGGTGGCCCCAGAGAAGTGGGCCCATCAAGGACTGGTTCCCAACGCTGCCAGCACACTCACCTCTACAGCCTGCTCCACCTTCGCTCACATTCCGACCCCGCCGCCTTCCCCCCGCCCCGCCAGGCCCTTTGTTTTGATTCCCGACTCCGCAGCTCCCGCCGCCGCCGCCAAGCGCGCCCTTCACTTCCGCTTCCGCACCGCACCGCCCCGGTCGTAAAAGGACGCCCTTTTCTTCCCCCTCGCCCCGCCCCTTCCTCCACCCCTCCCCCACCGTCGTGTCCTCTCCGCGCAGGGCGTGCTGGGAACCTGGGGGGGGCGGGGCCTCGCGGCCCTGCAGCCTCGTCAGGCTCAGTCCCCTCCCGATAAACCCTTAAATAGGGACCTTCCCGGGGGGCGGCCCCGGCTTTTTTGGACGAAAACCCCCAATTTAAGGAGGCCTTCCCCCTGGTCTATCGTTGCAGAGTGGAAAGAAACCGAAGACCGGGGAATTAGGGAGCTTGTGAAGTGGAACCGGGGGAAAAAATCAGCCAACCACAGGATTTGGTACAAGTCAGTTCTTTCGGTCTTTTGAGGAAAGGCGATTTAAATCGGATTTCGATGAAAAGCCTGAACGTTTTGGCTTGGCTCACTTCTCTTTTCTCTCTCTCTCTCTCTCTCTCTCTCTCTCTCCCTCTCCCCCCCCCCCATCTTGTCACGTGATGATTCTGCTTTGGGAAAAAATTTAAATAACGCATATTTTCCACAGCATGCTTAATCTAGTGCAACCTAGTGGCGAGTGATAAAAAAAAAAACACCCCACAAGAACTGCCAACCGAGCTAACCGCCGGTCCTTCTGGCCGGCCGGCGTCTCGCTGGCAAGAAAACGTGTGTCCGGGACTAGCCCGGGTGTTGTCACCGACAGCGAAGAGGTCCTCGTGACTTAGGGAAACGTGGTTTTTAAAAGCCCTGGTCCGCAGCTCATTACAAACGAACACAACTTTCCCAGTAAACAGGCCGGGCGAACAAAAAGTAGACCTCGTGGTTGCAAAAGCCTTGCGAGGCCCCTCGCGGCTTGTGTGTTACGTGGATGGATAAGTCGTGTCTGGGTTTGTTTTCTCCCCCTTCGCCTCACCACCTACTTTTACCTGAGATTTAAAAAGAAAAGTGTTGTTTTTTTAATTCAATAAGCACAATTGTCCTTGGCAAAACTGCCAGCTGCTCACTATTTCCTGTTGCAAATTAGAAAAACAAAGCGCATCGCTATAGCTAAATCTAGACAGAGTTCAGGATGTGCTAGCTGGAGACTATGGAAAGGTTGGAAAAGTTTATTTCTAAAGTTAGCCAAGAAACATTGATTTTGCAGAAGAATCAATAACTAGAAATTGCCGAAAGAGACCTTACACACACACACACACACACACACACACACACACACACGCACACACGCGAAAACACACACACACACACGCACACATGCGAAAACACACACACACACACCGTCCCCCCAGAGTCTGAAGTGTGAGGCAGTTTCATTAGGCAATTCCGATAGGCGGGGTGCATTTCAGGGGCAGCAATGTGTCCCTGTAGACATCCTGGTAGACGTGATTGTGGAGGGCAAGGTCAAACACGGAGCTGAAGAATCCTGTGCTTGAATTTCATTTTCCAGGAGGAAGATGACAAGTACACACGCCTCGTCAGCCTGCTTAAGTTAGATCTGCCTTGTGTCTGTGTGGGGAATAGTTTCCAAATGGGAATTAGATGAGAAAGCAGCTCTGTTTCTAGCGTTTTGTGTGGTTTTTGTTTTGTTTTTTTCAAAGTACCACATATGCTGCTTTTTAGGGGTGTTTTCCTTTTCATTCTAGCTGAGTATCTCTGAACACGGACCATGTTAACTAAAAGTATAAAAAGGCGAACAAAGTAATGGTGGATTTTTAAAAAATTCTTCTTTTTAAGAAAAGTTTTTAGCCACAAAACATAATAAAGAGCAGACACGTTTTGTTTGACTTTGACATTCTTTCAAGGCCAGAATTGTGCCTGGTCTCAACAGGTCAAGTGCAGGAAATAAAAATGAACAAATTGTACGAAGTGGAAAGCTAATGAAAAGTCTGAATTACAAATAATTCTTAAAGAAATGCAATTTTGTTGTTTTCTGTAGAATACTAACCTATGCAGAGTATGCCAGCCCTTGGAAGCAGATCATTATGAATCAAAATACAATTTGATATTTGTGAAAGAGTGCTTTAACATGTTCCTTAAGACATATTTTCTTAAATTTAGCCTCTGTTAGCCTTATTTCTATTCCTTTGCTGGATGAACTCTTTTTTCATAGAGTAAGAGTAACTTTCAGTTTTTTCCTTGTCCAAATTGTATGAAACAAGGATGAAGATTGATTTTTGTGCTATTTAAGCTCCTAGATTCAGTTCAGCTCCTAGATCAGTGGTTCTCAACCTTCCTAATGCTGCGACCCTTTAATACAGTTCCTCATGTTGTGGTGACCCCCAATTTCATTGTTACAAATTGAACATAATTAACGCATAGTGATTAATCACAAAAACAATATGTAATTATTATTATTTTTTTATATATATTTTATTGATTTTTTTTTATAGAGAGGAAGGGAGAGAGATAGAGAGTTAGAAACATCGATGAGAGAGAAACATCGACCAGCTGCCTCCTGCACATCTCCTACTGGGGATGTGCCCGCAACCCAGGTACATGCCCTTGACCGGAATCGAACCTGGGACCTTTCAGTCCGCAGGCCGACGCTCTATCCACTGAGCCAAACCGGTTTCGGCAACAATATGTAATTATATATGTGTTTTTCTGATGGTCTTAGGCGACCCCTGTGAAAGGGTCGTTCGACCCCCAAAGGGGTCGCGACCCACAGGTTGAGAACCGCTGTCCTAGATTAACCTGGCTGCCACAAAAGTAGTTTCTCCTCCAGCAACTTTTCTTCTATGTTAGGTTAAGTTTAGGGTTTTGAAATAATTCTATATAATAATAGTGTAGTATGCAAAGTGTCCCCTCAACCGAGAGTTGTCCGGGAGTTCGACCAGGGGGTGGGGCCTGGCTGGGGGAAGGGAGGCAGTACCCCGCAGGCAGCTGGCAGTCGCTAGGGACCCTACCAGTG